AAAGGCAACCACCGAGGGCTTATCCGTTCTCTCCAAAGAAACTGCCAAAGAGGAGAGAGAAGGAAGAGAGCAGAAGCAGAGGCCATCATCCTGTCCATTATGCTCCAAAATGGTTTACACACACACACACACACACACACACAGCACAACAATAAAAATTAAAAATCAGAAAACAGAAAAATCTGACTATACTGTTCGGAGCATCACTGCCCAACCACGCCCTTGAGAAAAGGAGTCAGAGCCACATAGAGCACAGTGAGCATGCGCACAGCCGTCAATGAGGAGAAAGGCGCAGGTGCAAGTTTTGGGGTCAGGCTTTGACTCTGATCAAGCCCATCTGTTCTGAACCCCAACTCTCACTCAGCGTACCCTTCCCTCTCCTATCCACGCAGCTGTAGAGCTCGGATCTCATTTCATCTTGATTGATCTTGGGGCAATCTCCGTCCTGGGACTTTGTGTCCCACCTCCTGCCGAGCCATTTTCCTTGTCACTGATGCCGGAGGTGGAAGAATTTTCAGGGACTCCAGTGTCCTTATCAAGTGTCTGTTTGCTCGGTACCATTCCAACACTTTTCACATATTTTCTTTTTATCTTCAAAATGATGTAAATTGGGTAGAAGGAAACCAATTTATATCTTACAAACTGTCTACTGAGTCTCATATCACTTAAGTGATCTGATTGCCTAAATTTCTAAAACTCATCAGAATGGAGATTGAAATGTGTGACTTATAATTCTTAATTCGGTGTCTTATGAAGCAAAATTGTACACAAAAAGCATGGGTTTCCAAACATGTTTTTCTGGGAGTTGAATCATCCCAGCTCACTGCTAACTGCAAGCTGTGATGTCCTGGACTGGTTACTTAATATCTCCGAGCTAAAATGTGAAAACACAATCAATAGAAAAAGCTCCTGGAAAGAAATGGAAATGCTTCTAGCCTTATTTCAGATCATCATCCTAAATCCAGTATCTCAAGGAGAATAAAAGCAATTATAACAACACAAAATAAAATGCGATATTTATTCTCAGGTGGGGGACTGCCAAGAAGCACCTCATACATTTTTAAACATTCCTTGTTACTGCTCTCAACAGGTTTCTACTACAAGTTCTTTGGCAGCTAGCTAGAGCTTTTTCTGTCATGGGTGTACCCTTTTTGGCCACAGCAGGCTTCCATACTCTAGTGAATGTCAACCTCCTGGGTGAGACAAGAGACTCCAGTGCCCTTCTTCAGAGCCCTCTCCCAGATTTCTCTCCTGAGTTTTCTTGTTCAGTGTTATCTGGGCACTTAGTAAGATACAAGCTACAGATCTCATTTAATCCTCAACCACTCACTAATGGATCCTCTTGTCCCCACTGCCCAGCACAGGAAACTGAGGTCAACCATAACAAGCTGATGAGTAAACCAAAGTCCCACATCCAGGAAGTGGTGGTTGAAGGGGCTCAGACTCCAGCTTCTGAGTTCTCACTAGCTCTGCTCTATGACCTCCTGTGCTTCCTTCCGCCATAGTCCAATGTGCATTTACCTTACTGAAAGCAGAACACTTGACATTTTTACTGATCAGTTAGCATGTGCAAACATGAGTGCACACCGTTTCACCAGATGTTGAGGCAGCTCTGCGTCTGCGTCATCAGAAGTCCTTATAACAGTGGTGTCTTTCAGGCACCAAAAGCTCCACAAACACAGGGAGTGAGCCATTCAATTCTATTCAGTGAAAAGGAGGGAGGAAAGTAAATAGCATGGCAACCACAGGGCAAATAAAACAGGAGGTGTCTCCATCACTCTTCAGTCGCTTACTAAACGTTTCAGCCACAGACACGGGATACCTCAAAGTTCCCTCATCAGTTCCATTTTGAAGTTCTAGATCCTGTTGGTCCAGTGTTTGTCACAGGTGTCAAACCACATGTCCCCACTCTACATGTACAGTATGCGACTATGGCGATTGAATGTATACTTTGATTTAAAAACAAACAAACCTAACCTCAGACTTTGAGGCCAAAACTTCTCTCCCTGTGACCTGGAGGGCCTCTATTTGATATCATGAAGATCCTCCAAGCCTATGCACCTTCCTCAGCACAGCCTGGAATCACTTCTATCCCCTCAGTGCCTCTGGTCCTGTGACACCCCTTCTGGGGCCACTATCAACCCTATCCCCTACCTTCCATGAGCAAGCGTCCAGCTCTCTGGCTACCAGGACCTTCCTCCTTCTTCCTCTTTCTGACTTTGGGCCAAAACCCAATTTGACATTATTTACTCTATGTTAGGACTTCTTCCAAAACAATCCCGGCTCACCTCCTTTTACTAATGGGGAGAAGGTGAGATGAGGTTTGTGAATGCAGTAACAATGGACACGGAAGAAGAGTGGCTCTCATGGTAGAAACCCCTGAGAGCCACACTACCAGATCAATTCTGCCTTTTACCTCTAGGAGGCAGGAGGCAGCAGGTTCTCCGTAGAACTATGCTGCACTGGTTCTTGTTCATTCTCTCCTGCAGTGAGTCTTCTGCATTGCCTGACATTGAACCAGGTGCTAGACTACCGCCTATCCTATGACATTTCCCACAATGCCATAGGACAAAGGAGAAAGGAACAAGTAAGGAAGTTTATGAAGCCTCCACCAGCCTCATCCTTTTCTTGGAGGGCAATGGGGCATACCGTTGACAGCTGCAGTTAAAGTATGGCTTCCAGTTCTTACAGCAGCACTTTGGGTGGTGTGGTATTTAATCTCTTTGAGCCTTGGTTTCCCCATCTGAAAGACAGGCACTGCCATTTAGCTCAGTGGTGTTAAATAAAATAATGCATGAACAGGCTAACTGCCTAGCATACAGTGAACACGCTCAAAGTACCCAGAATGCACCAGGGAGCAAGAAAGCCCATCTCCACCCAGACTGCATCTCAGTTCCTGGTTTTATATTCATGCTGAGAATTTGCAAGAGATACCAGGGGGATGCAACCAATCAGCTTATGCAGAAGCTCCTTACTCAAGGGAAATAACATAGGTTTGCAATAACTCAAATGAGCAAGAGCAAAATCATTTTTATCTGTTGTACTCTGGAACGGAGCACACGCTTATTTATGATTTTAAAATCTGGCTCTTAATCACGTCAACACTCTTCCAATGCTATATTGTATCCCTAGAATGCCATGCATAAAATAAAACATAATTTACCAAGGACAACACTCTTTTAAAATTGTGTCTACCCGAAGCATACACTCAGTGGGTTTTGCCACAGTTGGTCCCTTTTCCATTGTGTGTAAGCTCATTCCAAGCGACTCCTGCTAGCACTGTTGTCTAATAGTCATCTGGGTGTCCACATGAACACAAGAACACCTTTCTCACACGACTCTGAAGCTTCTGTACAGACTGCTCTCAGCCCAGCCTGCCCTAGACTGAACTAAGGGAGGCAGAAGCAGTAGTCATCCCCCCGTCACCAACAGATGGTGACACTGGTCATAAGGTGTTCTCTGCTAAATCTGGGCTGTGGTAGTTCTCAAGCAACATGCTTAGAGTAGTGAGGTGAGGTTTGGGGGTGCTCACAAACATTCTTGACCACACAGCATGACCTTGAGATAGAAACCTAAGGGCAGTTCTGAAAGTGATGACAACGATTTAAGATGGCAATACTAAGGTGGAAATGATTCTAAAAATGGCAAATGTTCCACGTATCGCAGGGAGGTGAAACACTGTGAGACAGGAATGGCTGAAAGAACAGGTATGAGGGCTGTGGAAGCTAAGCAGTGAGCATGGATCAGTGGAGTGAGGCAAAAACAACAGAGTAACTGACAACGGCTCAAAAATCCAAGCAGATCAGGTTTTCTGTGATTTCAGACTCAGTGCTAGTGTCAAGTGGGGAACTGTCTGTCCGTGACATTTAATCTAACGTGAGTTCAGGCATTTCCTTTCAGAAGCTTCAAAGCAATGTTCTCTCTCTCTCTCTTTCTCTCTCTCTCTCTCTCTCTCTCGGTTTTTGTTGTTGATGTTGTTGTTGTTGCTTTGGGTTTTTGGTTTTTTCGAGACAGGGTTTCTCTGTGTAGCTTTGGAGCCTGTTCTGGAACTCGCTCTGTAGGCCAGGCTGGCATTGAACTCACAGAGATCTGCCTGCCTCTGCCTCCCAAGTGCTGGGATTAAAGCCATGCACCACCACCGCCTGGTGCAATGTTCTCACTGTACTCTGGAATCACCTGAGGAGGTTTTCAGACCCGAGAATCCCAGGCTATCATGGAACCAGACATCAGGGCCATTCAGAGCCCTCCAGGTGACTCCAGTGTGAAACCACAGTTAAAACTACCTCCAAATATAATAATGGAGAAAACATGGATGTTGTCATTATGGGGCTAATATCCTTCTGACTGCAGATCCTGAGTGGATGTGAGTGGATGCCTTCTTATTCCTGTGATATTTGGGTCTTCACGACAGAAACTACCTGCTTTGGGCATTTTTCTTTTTAAATTCTTGTGATCATTGTAGGGGAGAACATAGTAATCATGATAGAACAGAAGATGCCTTATAGTGTTGGAGGATCTACTCACATACCTATCTGGAAAAAAAAATCTGTCAAGACTACAAGTTTTCATCTCTCTCAGTCACAAACGAACAGACACATAAACCTGTCCTAAACTCTAGAACAGTGGTTCCCAACCCTCCTAATGCTGCGACCCTTTACTACAGTTCCTCATGTTGTGGTGACCCTCAACCCAGCCTTCCATACACTATTTTCTTTGCTACTTCATAACTGTAATTTGGTTGCTGTTATGAATCATAATGCAAATATCTGTGTTTTCTGACAGTCTTAGGCAACCCCTGTGAAAGGGTCGTTCGACCCCAGGTTGAGAACCACTGCTCTAGGCGCTTCTAAACCAGGATCATTTTCCCACTTTCATTGCCTAGCTGACTAGTTCTCATCTGTTCACTCACTCTATATGCCCCGGTAAATTTCTATGTTTAACTACTTAGTTTTGCCTTAAAAACAATGCATCATTTGCTCCTCAGAATAGTCGCATTTTACCTTATCTGCCATTATCATAGATGAGCCCCCATGGATGCCCAGGATAGGGGTGAGAGTCTGAGCAGAAATGAAATCGAGGATCTGGGCGATGGCTTCCTGGTCAGTGTCGTCAGCGAACACCACCCCCTGGATCTTCCGGTCGGACATAAGATCGCAGATACGGGTGATGATGCTCTTTGGGTCAGTTTCGTTCATGGCTACCAGCTCCACCCGGGGAACTACTGAGAGATGATGGAAGTCATCTTTCTCGTGGGCGTCTTTTATGGCCACTTCGTCTGAAGTGCCCACGAGGATGACCGCGATGCCGATGCTGGGGGGGCTCTTTTGGGAGCGAGCTTTGCTGCCGGACACGGCCAGGACGGCCAACACCAACCAGAACTTGGGAGAACAGCACTCCGCGCTGGGCTTCATCTTCAGCTTGTCCACTCTCTGAAAACAGAAAGGAGAGAATGGTTTAAACCATGAGGTGTGCTACGGAACACACCTTTGCAGCATCTGAATACTGGAGAGTCAAGAAACTCTACCTGCTGGTCGTGAAACTCAATTTCTCTCCCCTAACCCAGTCTCTTAATTCTGATGTTCTCTGGGCATGATGAGAGAAAAAGAAATTTTCAAAAGCCTAGTAAATCTTTGACCAAGACAAATCGGCAGCCAACAGACAGCGATAAAGCAGACGAGGGTGTGCTGAGGAGTGTGGGCCAGCCAAGCACACGCACACTGAAGACAGCAGGAGGGGCTTGCTGTTGCTGGGACCCCTGGCACTCTAGTTATAACCATCCTTGAGCTGCCCTTGGCAAAGACCAGGCCAAGTGATCTGTAAAGGGGGCTCAGCAGAGGCTGGCCACAAAACACGGCCTGGATAAGATGAATCCAGCAAGCTCCAGGCATAGAGACCCCGTGTTCTTGTTGCCTGGACCTCGTCTTTGCCTCTCAGAGAGTGACAGCCTGGAAACGCTTCAGTGTTTCCCTTTTAGAATCTTTCTTAACATTAAATCAGAGAAGCAACACATGGGTACTCAATTTTAATTGATCTTTACAATCACCCAACGGGGAAAAAATAAAAGGAATATTAGTATCTCATTTTATACATGTTGATGCCAAGAGTCAATGAAGTTAAGGGACCCACCCAAGACTTAATAAATTAAGTGAAGCAGCCCTTAAAAAAATTAGATTCCATTGTGTGTGTGTGTATGTGTGTGTGTGTGTGTGTGTGTGTGTGTGTGTAAGAGAGAGAGAGACAGAGAGAGAGAGAGAGAGAGAGAGAGAGAGAGAGAGAGAGAGAGAGAGAGAGAGAGAGAGAGAGAGTGTGTCTGTATGCCTGTGTGTCTTTGTGAGTATATACTACTTGTGTTCAGGTACCCTCCGAGTCCAGAAGAGGCATCAAATCTCACGGAACTGGAGTTACTACAAATGATTGTAAGCTGCCAATGTGGGTGCTGGAAACTGAACTCAAGTCCTCTGCAAAAGCAGCAAGTGTCCATAAATGCTGAGCCACGCCTCTAGCCCCACTCGAAGCAATCTTGAACCCAATCTTCTGATTTTCGTGTTCTGACTTGTACTCTATGACACTATACACCCCACACTGCCTTCTGCATCATTGATTACTGTATTACAAAAAACAGTATCATCCTGACCTTTTTATGCATCAGAATGCACGAACAAGCAAATCCTGCCCACAGTTGGAGTCACGGAGCGTCAACCTTGAGGGTAGTTCTATGTTGTTTCTGATGACAGCCTGTAGCCGTAACTTCCTGAAAGGATGGCCTATGTGTTTGTGTACAACTCACTGCCTTCTTCCTGCAAAGAGCCCCTCCCTCTTTATTTCCACAAGGGCTCCTAAATCACCCACTACACAGCAGAATAAGATGCAGGACTCCGTAGAAGATGAGCCTGGTCATTTCTCTTTATGTTTCCCATCATTCGCTCTAAGTGCCTCTTATTTTACGAGAACGGGCTCTGTCTGTGTTGCTTTGCTTTAAATGGTCATTTATTGTACAGTATTAGACACTGTGCACTGGAAGGCATTCTCATGTGCAATCTCTTTGCTTCTGAAAATTCTACAAATTAGACATTTTATTCCCATTTCTCAAATGGAAAAACTGAAGCTCAGGATGGTTATGTAATCTTCCAAGGTCAATGATGTTACAATACCAGAATGCAAATAGATTAATATATCGTTGTTCTCCAAGGAAACAGCTTACCAGCTGTACCCAGATCTAGAAGAGACTCTCATTTCTCTACCAAACATGAAAACGTGGTTTAATCTCTCCTGCATTTTTGACTAAAAAAAAAAAAAAAAAAAAAAGGGAGGGGATATGTTAGACACCTAAAAATTTGAGAATTTGGCTAACAAAAAGAAAAAAATGATAATGAAGTTATTGAACAAAGACAGATCAGGAAGTATTCGAGCTGAGCAGACTGACCACAAAGGGCGTTAGTGATTCAGGAGTGAGATGCTGGGACATTTTGTGGCTGAGGAAGCACAAAATCCAATCCAGTTCTTGGCAGAAAACCTTTTGGAACTCTTGCTGTTATAGTCATCCTTTAGTGTTGCCAAGAGTAGACCTGGGTCGATTGCCTCGCTTCTCCCGAAAGAGATAATACGAGTGTCTCTATGGTTCACACCGACCAAAGCTCACTCCTGACAGCTTTCTGGTCTCCCTGTTCCTGCAGAAATGAGGAATGACTCCATGGGTTCCAAAAGCCCATGCTGATGGGCTACGGATGATCTGCCAGGAGAACTGGGGACTGAGCACCTCCTTCTCAGTGTTTAAAGAAAGGCAATAGGATCCAGAGTTTGAGTCAGTCAGTGGGAGACAGTTGGATTTAGTATCTCAAAGAGATGGGAAGTATATATGCTCAATTCTAAGGGCTGATTTTCAATGAGAACCCAGACATTTAGAATTTGGCTAAATCTATCCACTAGCTTCATTCCAGTGAGATCCTAATCCTACAGTTACAAGTCCCTAAATTAGATTTCTTCACATTTAAAAGTGTCCCACTCTGCCACGACAGTTTATTAACTTTAATGCACCCGATGCTCTTCTGTTTCATGCTTTTATTTGCTCTCTTTAAACATCTCTCATGTTCCTCCATTTTCTCTCACACAATATATTATACTCTTTTACGCAATGGCTAGTGGTGACATTCAGCGAATAGGATCTAGTTTTACCAAGTGTCTCCTTCATATTTGGGATAGAACAGAGCTCTTTGCAAAGTAATACATTATGGGAGATAACAGTGACAGAGAGACCAGGAGCTGCACAGAGAAAAAGCTCTGACTACAAACTCAATTTCAGACACGGGGGTTGGGAGTTGAGAGAAAGTGTGTGATCCAAGATAAATAATGCCGTGCTCGTCTTTAGACAGACCAAGACTACACTGAATGCCCTGCTCTTTGGTGTTTGTTCCCTCTTCTCCATTTTATTTCACCCTCCCAAGGAGAACTGGAAAGCACTTCCTTTGACTTCTCACCAAAGCTCATGAGGTCTACCTCATGCTTGGGATGGTTTAGTACACTTATATGACAGTGCATCTGCCCATCTTAACCAATAGGTGACCTCCTCACAAACAGACCTCTGAGGTTAGCCATCTTGTAGTGAGTACCGACTACCTTGAAGACAACGTTTTCCCCTAATTTCCTTTTTGCCTCCAACAGTGGGAATTGAACCCAAGACCTTGCACATGCTAAGCACATGGTCTATAATTGTGCTATATCCCAATCCTGGACATAAGTTTTGGCCATTAGTTTCATGCTGATGATGCCATGAACACATGTTCTATCATTCAGGATCATCACCTAAGAGAAGTCACAGCCATAAAAGAAATGTCTTGTCTCATTTCTATTTACATTCTTGGGATGTAGCACTGACTCATATACCATAAACAGGATAGATTCTATCAACTATAGCCAATTATAGGCTTTTACCATTTCATTAGATCACACATAAAACTGTTATATATAACAGTTTGTATTTCAAATAATTACCCTACTGTGTGACAGATACTATGATTGACAAAAGATTTTCATGCATTACTTGATTCCTATAAAAATACTGTAAGTTGATATGTAGAACTGAATTGTATTGTAAAATAAAATAAAATAAAATAAAAAAACAAAGAAAACTGAAAAACAATACTGTAAGTCATAAGTTATAATTTATGTTATAAGTAAGTTATAAGTGAGAAAAGAGGTCTGGGAGGTTAAACACATGACCAAGATCATATAGCAAATTGAGCTTCCTAGCCAAGTTTGTCTGACTCTAAAAGCCTTTCTTTTTCCATTCTGGGAGTGCCTCAGTACAGGTAGATAAAAGAGAGAATGAACAAATGAATGAGTGAGTGAATGAAATTACTAACCTGGCTTTAAACTAGTGTCATATTAACAAAGTTCATTGGGGTGAGATAGTTACCTAATTGATGTTGTCTATTTTGTCATTGGTAAAATCAGGATAATGGGCCCAATCTACACCCCTGGAAGGGCTGTGAAGATCAAATGATAATGTGTATATGGAAGCCCTTTGAAGACTATAAAGCACTCTGCAGATGCAAAGGGTGTTACTGTGACACTTTTTGAAGCTGCTCAAGGAGCCTAGCTATTTACGACAGCACAAAGTGAGCATGTGAGGGGTGGGGTGAGGGAATGTCAGACAGAGGCTAAGAGGAATGTTCAGAGGGACTGTACATGGGGCAAAAGACATCCATTCTCTTTAGATACAACTTTCTTTTTTTTTTTTTTTGGTTTTTCGAGACAGGGTTTCTCTGTGTAGCTTTGCGCCTTTCCTGGGACTCACTTGGTAGCCCAGGCTGGCCTCGAACTCACAGAGATCCGCCTGGCTCTGCCTCCCGAGTGCTGGGATTAAAGGCGTGCGCCACCACCGCCCGGCTAGATACAACTTTCTTAAAAGATGTCACACCATGTCCTCAGAGTAACAGCTGACTCCACTGACAGCATCCTGGTCATGTAGCTGAATTCAGGAGCCATTCGGTCTAGGGGCCAATAATGAGTGAATATCCTGAAGCTCAATGTCCTCAAATCATGTTTTAAATTCATGCATAAAAGGGGTGCAAATAGAATCAGCAAGAAGGCAGCAGGATTAGATTGACCGTCCACTCTTTCAGCCCTCTGCTTCCTTGGCATTTGGTCTGAGTGAGCCATGCCAAGGCTTCCTGCTTTACGGTGCATGGTGCTCACAAGAGGCAGCCTACACTTGCTCCTAACTGCCTCTACCTACATCTGGTTGAGGAGATGGGTCAACATTTGCCTTAGAGAAAATTGAGTCCCAGAATAACTCTAATAGAAAGCATGAAATGTGATTTTTTAGGAAAATTTAAGCCAAAGTTGCCAGGCACTATCCAATCAGGATGTTGTCTGAAGTCACTCTGTTAAGAGACCTTGATGGGAATATGACAGACAGTGGTCAACCAGG